TCAGGAACAAATCAAACACTGAAAGAAGCCAAACAACAACAGTTTAAGTTATCTGAGTGACTTATAAGTCTGAAAACAACGTGCCAGGAGTTTGCCGTTCTCGCCCGGTCAGCTCTCGAGCTGGTGGGTAACAGACGTCTCTGAAAACATCGGAGCACTTTTGCAAACGTGATGTCCTGATAAATCTGCAGATATTTGAAGTTTACAGCTACATTCTCGCCTGAAACTATCTTAAAAATGTATTTTGCGACACAGAAAGAGTAATATGAGTAATATTAAAACTAAGTAGTGGCCGACATTGTTGGAAACTGGAGTTTGGCTGGGCCGCGCTATGAATTCTGGGATATGGTGGGCCACGAAGGACACACCCGACCCATCCTTCAAATTCGGGGAAATGAAGGACGCATTGATATCGTCGTGTTGGTGTTGTTCCCAGATCAACATACTAAAGGTTGTTCCAGGATCAACATAGCAAGTGACCAATCAAAATGTTGTGACGTCATACTTTTGCGACTTTGGGAAAAACCGCCGTAAAACAAAAAACTGTACTTAAGAGAAAGCGCCTCTGTCCACCGATCAACGGATCCTGACCCTTTAATAAATGTTGAGCAGAACTGATATTGTCCGTGCAACATTGGAATTTCATAAATGCACGAATGGCTTGGAGCGCCAAAAAATAACGTCACAACAATGTGATTGGTCACTTGCAATGTTGATCCTGGAACAACATTTACTATGTTGTTCCAGGATCAACACCATCATGATGATATCAGATCATCCACAGCCTTTGTCGCCTCGCTGTGACGTTATCGGCCTGCAGCCCATGAATTGTGACAAACCTGCAGACACCTGCACTCCTTGTGGCCCATTTTAACCTGACTACAAATGATGCATACAGTTTTGCCTCTTTTATCTCTTTTCGGGACTTAAATGTTGGTAATTATGACCCATCAGGACTGCCTTTGCTGCGTTACTGTTTAGGCTTGAAGGTGCACAGTTGATGTGAAATAATAACTTCCCTCAAATGTGTTAAAGTAACGAGCCTGTTTTTAAAATGTGAGGAGTAGAAAGTTCAGATATTTGTGTTAAAAAGTAGG